AACACATTTATTTATTTATTCCATATTTAATTACATATTGACACATTTAAGTATTTATTTAATGCTGTATTTATGTATTTAATTTTGGTACTTTTTATCCTCCATAGTTATTGGCCTGCAGTATCGGGCATTGCAAGAAACAAAAAAATAAGAAGTAATTTATTAACAAAGTCAGATAACTAGCCTACAGTAGCCCTGGCTGCGGTTAGCCTCAGAGGTCCACTGGTTGCCACGGTACTCTCAGCGCCAGAACTTAATCAGTAAATGGGTCACATGGTGACGCTTAATAGCATCACGTTCTCGCCTCAAACAGTCTTAAAATGTTGCAGAACAACAGCAAAAGAAAAGTGAACTTTTTAGCTTATCAGTCTGAGCTCTTTGAGCGGTCCCGTTAAACCCAGCTGCTGCCGCAGTGCATGCTGGGATGCCTGCTTTGGTGCATTCTGGGTAAAGAGGTCGGAAGAAGAACAACATCACAGAATTTTATCAGTTTTTGTTCTTGTGTTCTTGGCAGTTGCAGCAGTGCTGGTGCTGAAGCTGATAACGTTTCACGATCAGATTTAAATGCACAAGTATGCACACTGGCTAAATCTGATCAGACCATCTTCATCCACAGCTCTCTAGCAGTCGTATCTCGAATGTGAAGGAAAAATCACACCCATAAATATGCAATCAGAAAAAGTCAACTATGTTTAAAACCCTTCAATCTAAGTGCTATGGGAAACTAATCAGGGGAGGTAAAGTCGACAAGGCCCAGCAGGAAATAATGACAGAAACTAAGAAAGTCTCTGGAGAATCCCACCAGTGAACAGGATCAGTTCGAAGGCTGCAGCAGGAACAGGGTTATACTTTTAATGCATCAACCACCAGAAAATAAAATCTATATCTTCACTTCACTGATCTCAGATACTACAAGGTGGTTTTAGAAGATATCCAAAGGACTAAGCCATTCATAGAAATGGATGGATGAATATTTTTTTATTTTTTTATCCAGTGGATGCTAACTGAGAATGGGTCAGTTTATTTTATGTAAGCAGATAAAAGCTATTCTGAGGAGGCTCGTTGCTTGAGAAGTGAGCAGATGGCGTGGCCAGTCATGCATAAAGAGTTCAGATGTAAAACTGCAGAACGTGCCCTTCAATATTCTTCCCACATCCTCCTTCCTACCAACAGAAATACAAAGCTCATTAAAGAGAGCTGTAGCACAATACACCTATTTGGTAGAATAAAACCAAAAATCATGTTTTAAGACCCCAGATAGGTCTGACAGCAAGTGGTGCTGCTAATTCCTCACTAAATAACAATCCTTTTGTCGGTTTCTCTACTTGCAGAACCTAAACGATACCTCAAATAGCCAACATGAATAATACAAATTTAACAGTAAATAATATTTCAGGGTGAACTCCTGAGGAAGCGGCTTCCTGAAAGTTGGACACATTAGTACCTTTTTATCACCATGACTTTCAAAGGGGCTTTATCATGCAGATTTAACTTTTTTATGCTTTTAACCTTTTCTAAATGCTATTTAACAATAAAAAGGGTGTTAAGTATTCAGAGTCAACCTATTTTACTCTAAATAAAGTGTTTGCAACTATACTGAGTGTAAATCTGCTCAAGTGTTGGAGTTATTAGCACTGAATTGCAACCTTTATTCTATGTGACAGGGGTCACCAATTAAAAATCAGCGGGTCCGAATAAAGAGTACACTGCAAAAACGATCTTAAAATAAGTAAAAAATTCTTAAATCAAGTGTATTTACCCTTAATTTGAGCAGGTAAATAAGATAGTTTGCCAATGGAATTAGTATTTTTACACTTAAAATAGGAATAATTAGATAATATTCACTTGAAATAAGAAAGTGCAATATTTTCTTATTTTAAACGTAAATTTTCTTGTTCCATTGGCAAAATGTCTCACTTACCTCCTCAATTCAAGAAAAAAATGCACTTATTTTAAGAAAAAACGACTTATTTAGATTTATATTGTTTGCAATGTATCAACAACCAGTAAATTTGTGGAGACATTTTTAATTAGAATCTGTCACTTTAAACAGAATTTAACACTGAAATAAAATTAGGTGTTTATGAATCCATGTTATATACTGACTTTTAAAAATAAATAAATAAATATAAATATATATATATCATTTTCCATTGGGTTTTTTTTTAAGTAGAGAACAATCTTTCAGTTTGGTTTATAGACAATTTCCTGATTCACATATTCTATAAAACACCTGAACTGTGTTTATTTTCCCTCTTTTTCTTTTGTCTTAATATTGGCAGTGGGCTTTAGGCTGCCCTGCGAGGCTTTAAACCTGGGTTTAACCGGAGACTAAGCCATTCTAAAGCACATACCAAGGTGCTCATTCTGAACCTGGATCCAGATTTATTGTTGATTCTGTTCATGGTGGAGAATCCTGCTTCACAGCAGCAGGTTGAGCCAAACATCCTCTAAATGTGCAGGGTCATCT